AAATATGCTGGCATAGAATAGAAAATATTTGATGTTGGGTTGGTAAATGCAAACTAAATATGAAAGAATAAATTACATTCAGTAATGAGTGTTTGTCAAGAAATAAAATCTTTGAAAATGGCAATCATAGTCTAGAAGACATACTCAAAATGCTATAAACAGAGATAAGCTAGTGTCTATTGCTTTGAAACACACAAAACTATGCCATACTTTTAGTGCATATTTAAGAGTATAGACTATATATGGATTCATATCTTCCCAAATATTCTTGGGAATAGTATGAATCCATCTTGCCCCCTTCTAACACAGCTATAGATTAAATAGCAGGGCAGACTGGACTCTAGCTGTACTAAGATGATTAGACATGTAGATATTATACCTGTAAAATAAAGACACAATATATTTCAACAAATTGGATAATCCTACAGGAGAGTAATTATTCAGATTCATATTTTGCATAACCCAAAAATAAGTTCATATTAACTGGTGCAAGTTATTTGTTACCTATTTAAACAAGTTGGGTATCAAAATCTACAAATTAGATTAGTGACTTTTTTTATAAAGATTTATTACATTAGCTTAAATATTTTCTTTGAAAAATCTTGGTTTTAATTGCATATAAAGAGTATAATGTTAATCATAAAAATAAAAATCAATTTTGCAGACTAAAAACAAGTCTTTAAAATGTCTTTATGCTAATATTTATCATCCAAAACTTACTTTATGTCCTGATGTCTGCTAATAGAAAAATTTAAACTCTGTAATTATCTTCTAAAAATAAATTAAAAGTTATATCAATCTAAAAATTAATTTAATGATTGCTTAACTGGATTTTGTAAAAACATTGCTTACTTTTTTACTTAGAAATGTAGTAATAGATTTGTTACCAGCAGGTGCAGGGCTGGTGTTTACTACCCTTGAACCCTCTGACCAGGCGGGACATGATTGGGGCCCCAGGCAATATTTGCTTTTTTTTTTTTTTAACCTAGATTTATATGTGGTAAAACTGATTATTAAAAGATGAAAAATTTTCATGGATTTTGATGTCATTAGGGTTCATCTTTTCTTTTTTTTTTGTTTTGTCCAAATCTGTGAATTTGTTTTGCTCATGCTAAGTCTTGAAAAAAATATATAAAATTCATTATTTTTTTTATCCACAACATTGAAAATGATAAAATTATTCAACTTCTTAACAAGGAAAATCTCAAGTTGATATTAAAAATTGCCGCAAAACATTGTTGACTTATTTAAGATGGAACGATTTCTATCTAAATACATTGTATTTATCTTCAATTTTTCTAGTGGATGTGTTCACTTAAATTGTATATGACGCATTATTGTACATAATTAGGTGACAATAAAATCTGTATTTTATATGAATACTACCTTATGAAAATTAAGATATAGTAAAGTGGAAGCCTCATATCGTAGATTTAGGAAAGGTATCATAGATGGGGGGTGGGGCACAAGAACCTTGCACCAGCCCTGAGCAAGAGTCCATTACCGATTAACTCAATTCAAAGGTCAACAGGATATTGAATCACCTTTCCTTATTCAGGTGATGAAAATACACTTAAATTTACAAGCATCTCATGGGTGAGTTGAAGTGTTGATGATTAAAAATATGAAAACTTTATATTCACCCCAATGGTAAAAGTATATTGCTAAACATTAAAACAATGTCATATGAACCATTCAAACCAACATCCTCAGCTTTATTGACCACTCATTATAATCCATCGAGTGAAGTTCTCGTTTCTCTCTAATTGCCTGCAGCAGTGCCACATTCACCAGAACAATTTACAGAGCTGAGCAATAAATATATGCATTAAATTTGAAATTTTTAAGTAGCAAAATAAATAAATGTGGATGGGAAAGGGAATAGGTGCATAGTACATATTTGAGGAAGGTTGGAGAGCTCACTCACTCAAGTATGATGATCAAAACAACAAAGATTAGAATGCTGGTTGGAATGGTTTATAGGATATTTGATTTTTGGGTCATACTTTTTAAAGATGATTTGGCACAAATAAAACTGTATTCTATACTTTTTTATTTTATTTCATTAGGATGTTTTATCTGTAACTTTACACAAAAGATTCCTATTTAATATGGTAAAAGATCTTTTATCTACTTTGCTACAATAAATTTGAGATCCTTTGATGAGATGAAAATAAGAGTCATATCATGTTCAGTGGGACTTTTTTTTAGCCTGAACAATTCTTCATAAGCATAAAAAAAGAAAAGCCCCAACTTTAAGGAAAGGTTTCTCAAAACTGAAATATATTTTATGAAAAGATATTACAAAAAATAAATCAACACATCTGGCAAGTTTGCGACTATGTGGTCAGTCTTTACTCTTTAGTCTTTAGTGATTTATTTTTCAATTTGTCCTTTTAGTTTCAAGTAAATGAACCCAGGTTCATTAAAAAACGCAATAAAGCATGAAATTATTTAAGATAAAGATGATTGTTTCATTAAAAACTGATCATCTTTTTAACCTATTTTGACAGGAGCTACTACTGTTTTTTTAACTCATGTTTTTACATTTTTCCAGTCAACTTTAGTCTTCAAAAATTTAAATGGAATGTCAATCGTTTATCTTCTGTCTTGTTAATTCATGTTCTTTTATTGTCCTCTCTCCTTAATGACTTGTCTCATATTCTCTCACACTCAGTAAGTAACCCCTTGCATCTTAGTACTTTACTGCTTTGCTTGAGGGTGAAACTGCACGTCCCCAACAAAATGATAATAAACAAAAAACACATGTCTTCTAATTAACCAATGGTCTACCAATATTTTCCACGTAATCAGCAATAAATTACTTACGATTGATAAGAAGTAAAGAACAATAAATTTTATTTTTAAACGGATTTGGACTTCATGATGAATACAAAGTACCAAGTAGAAAGTAAAAACAGTGTAGAGGTGGAATAGTAAAAAACGAAATTTATTCCGAAGTCTTGTATTTTAAAAAAAACAAACTACTTTGATGCTATTCGCAAATAACCATTTTGACAATATTTCATAAAGAGACAATGTAAATGATAGATGGAGAAGTTAAAGATGTTAGAATAAAATAAAACCTTTTTTCAGAATGAAAGTGAAAGAAAATAAGTTTTTAATTAGCAACTTCTGATTAGTTAATCGTTTCGGACTAAATTTATTTTAAACATGAATATTATTTTTTTTTTTATTATCAGTAAGTCGGAGTGGCTAAAAAAAAAAAAAAAAAAAAGGTATGCAATGGTTTATTTTTATCAATTATTTTTTCAATTTTCATTATCAAGTGCTATGTTGCAGTTTTGAATTAACAAATTTGGTAAGAAGACGAATAAGCCAGTTGGAATTAGTTTTTAAAGTTTTTAATCATTTGATACATTTAAACTTTACTTTAAATGAATGTATCAAACATTGTGTTTAAATAATAATAAATTAATTAATTGTTGAAAGATAAAACGAGATACAGCTATTAAAAAAAAAAATTAAAAAAATAAAATTTCCAAAGTATGAACATGTGTTTTTCTCTACGTAGACATGCAATAGAAAGTGATATTTAATTCAAATTATAAACAATTTAAAGAGAAATTTCAAAATAAATAACACTACAGGAATCAGTCAATCCCTCCTTATAATAAAAAGAAGAACTAAAAAATGATCACAAGAAACGAATTTAGTAACTAATCAAGTCGAATATTTCCAAAAACGAGGTTCCAACACTTTTCAAGAAGACCATTAATTAGCCTGACCTAGCTTCTTTTTTTTTGGGGGGGGGGGGCAAATGTCTAGTAAAGAAGGAGACATCTTATCTTAAAATGACAGTTATAATCATAACAAATTATAATTATGAATTATTAAGTAAAATTTAAAACCAAGAATAAAAAGAATCAAGTTTCCTTATCTTATTCGATAAATAAAAAACCATAAAGCAAGTACTTGTTTTTTGTTTGAAATACGAAAGTGTACTGAATTAAAAAAAGGAAAACAAATTCTTATAATTTATTTTATATTAAGTTATAATATAAAAATATAATAAACAGAAGATAACAATAGTCCCGAATTTAAAAAAAATGGTTTGTAAACCATAAGTCCAAATAAAAATATTATTATTTTAGTTTTTAAAATAATTAAATTTTTGAAATTTAAGAAATTTGAATTTGAGGGTACATTAAGATGATTTTTTTTTAGTAATGAAAAATATTACTATAAAAAATTCATTTTTTTGAAAAATAAATGGATTTCTTAAAAAAAAAAAAAGTAAAATGAAAAGAAAAAGAAGACTACTTTAATTAAAATTTTAAAAAATAATAAAATTTATTTATGACTGCAATAAGAGGTTTTTATGATTATTTTTAAACACTTAAAAAAGATCTTGGAATTCAGCTAGGAAGTTGCATCGAAAAACACTAAACAGCAAGAAGAGAAATACATTCCAACCAAAATATACCCTTTAAAATGGATCCCCGACTTTGTGACCATAACATACTATTTCGATTTCAAGACACACCTCCTTTAAATAAAGCTTCAAGAGTTTACGATACATTGTAATTAGTTTTTAAATGACACAGATAATACATCTCAACACTTATATTTCTGTTATTCCTAAATTTGATATTTTAAAACATTGTAATTATAATAAAAACACCCTAGCTTTTTTTTGTTGTTGTTAAAGAAAAATATATTTTCATTTTTTATAATCAGTTGTTTGAATAATGAACTAATTCATCATCTGCTTTAACTGAATATTTTTCAAATCATATTAAAAGCTCAGGCTATAAAAATATAAAACCAACTTTTAATCACTCGAGATAAATTCCCCCACTTCATAACCATTGAACTCAGACTCGCGCCAACTATAGTGACCAAAAAGTGGGTGCTCAATTTACCATCACCGAAATAATGTAAAATAGTCCCCCATTTTGTAACTACTCACCTAAATATATATACATATTTATTTACGTGTGAGTGTGGATTGTTTTGTTGGATTTTTAATACTGTACCTGTCGTTTTTGTTTTTTGGAGCAAAGAGCTCAGCTCCCGGTGGTTTGGTATCGTCAGCCAGCCAGCATTATTATTATTATAAGTCCTAAAATGTTGTTGTTGTTGTTGTTAGCCATCGTCGTCGGCGATCAGGTAAAAGAAGCAAGAAGTAGACATTGGAAGAAGAAGAAGAATAAGAAGAAATGAGAAAGAGAAGCTACAACATTTCTTCTTTTCCTCTTCATTCATTTGTGGTTCTTTTTCCAGACTCGGATCGTCATAATGCAGGTATAAGAAAATTAAAGACAGCTAAAAAATCCAGAGGATAAAGAAGCGAGTCTTGTGCGTGATAATAAGAATAATACTAATAATTATTAGAATGACAATAGTTGCCAGTAACGGCCACCATACACATCCACATTGACACAACAAGGTGGTGGCGTGAGGAGCAAGGTGAGTTAGTATCTTAAAAGGAGAAAAAGAGAAGTGGCTGATTATTCTAGAGAGAGAGGAAAAGATCCGGTGAGAGGTTGAGCTCACAGTATTGAAGAAGTAGGAGGATTGTGCCTCAGTGGTAACAGTACGAGTGAAGTTTATTGAGAGAGGGGTAGTAGTACACCTGAGAGAGGTTGAGCAGTGCACAGAGAAATGTTTTTATCAACTGTGCAGAATTATTGCAATTTCTGTTGCATTCCGGTGAATTTGACGTGCACATCAAGTAGGCTGATGACAGAGGGTGGTTGCAAAATAAACTGTCAAAGTGCGATGCGTTATGTACAAAAGTGGTAGTGAGAGTAGACAAAAAAAAGTGGTCGATAAAGGTGTTGGTTAGAGGAATAGTTAAAAAGAAAGTAGGAGGTAACAACTGGCAATATGCGCTTAAGCGAGTTGTTGACGCTCCACAACAAAAACTTGCATTTATGTTTGAGATTATGAAATTTAAAAAAAATAAAATATCAATTTAATTCTTTCCTCCCCAAAATTCTGTTTTTATTTACAAGTTGTATTCTTAATCTGGCAAACTTCTAAATACGAAATTAATTTTGATACTTTTTTTTAATTAGAATTTAAGCTTTCAGAAGTGGTTATCCAAGGGAAGTAAATCTGGTTAGTCACTTCGGTCGTCATGGCAATTGTACTCCATTGTACAAAAAAAAAAAATAAATAATAATAATTGTTGTCGTCATTTTTTAAAAAATGCCAATAATCAGTTTTTTTTCTCACGTTTATGTAAATTCATAGGAAGCATAATGTCAAGAGAAGAAATAATTTTTATTTTCACATCTCATTTAATGCCATAAATTATTTTTTTGTTTTAAATTAAACTTGTGAAAAATGTTGAAGCAAGAAGGGAATTATTACAAATTACATTTAGTGTTCCTCATGTAAATTTTTTTGCTAAATCTTTTCAAGAGGGTTATTAGGAGCTATTAATTATTATTACCTTTCAGTTTATCAACATGCTATTTGTGTAAGTAACATTTTAAAAGGATTAATGCTTTCCTCTAAAAAGAGTGCATGATTAATTTAAATCCCTTAGAATTATATATATTTTACATATTTTTGTTTTGACATATATATATATATATATATATATATCGTTTTTTATTTAGAATCAAGGCAGTAAAGCCACTAAAACACAAGGGGAAACAGGGTGTGGAAGAACAGAAACATTAATTTAATAACAAGCAGGAAGAGGAAAGAGTAATCACGAGGACAGTAGATAGCAGTTGACATTGCATTTAAATTTTATATATATATACAAGTTTCATTAAATATGACTGACAAGATAATGTGGTTAAGTTTTTTATTTAATTTTCCTTGTGTTCTTATAATTTTCTTCTTTTCTGAACATTATAAGAACAAAAAAAAATTAAATAAAAACCTAACCACAGTACCTTGTCAGTCATATTTAATGAAATTTATATAAAGAAAGGATTGCTACTCTCAATTACACACACACACACATACATATATATATATATATATATATATATACATAAAAGGTTAATGGTCAGAGTTGAACCAGACCAGGAGATAGTGATATTAAAAAGTGCTCAATACACATGTGAAAAAAATAAATTAACAGTAAAAATAATATGTAGTGCTTTTAACTTTAAAAATCAGGAGATCAGTTGAATCATGTGTTTGTTTATTTATTTTTTAAAAAATAATATAGCGTTCATTATTTTTAACAAAAATAAAGTGTTAAGAGGTCATTTGATAAAAATCACTGAGGATACCGTAAGGTTGAAACCAAGGTAGCAGATTGTTATTTTTTTTTTTAAGCAATTCACTCCAAGCAAGGTGGGAATGCCACTAGTACGCAAGGGGCTATAGAGAGTGTAAGTAAGGGAAAAGACTAGGTATGGGGTGGTGAGGAAAGGATAAAAAGAAGAACAGGGATCAAGGCAACAGAAAATGTCGATGGACATCACATTTAAATTTTTGAAGATTATAGTTATCAGGTAAGCAAGTAAGAGGAAGGGAGTTCTACTGTCGGGAAGTGTGAGAGAAAAGGCTGTTGGAGTGGAAAAAGTGGTTACATCTGTTTCGACAGTAAAAGGTTGGGACTGAGATGTCAACTTAGTAGCATGCTTAAATTCATGCAATCAGGGAACCAGTGAAAATAGCTCATCAGAGCAGATGCCATGAAAATATTTATAGAAAAGACAGAGGGAAGCCTCATTACGTCGATCAGAAAGTGACTGGAGTTGAGATCCCAAGTCAAGATTGATCACATTGCATATCTGGTAACTGCTTATCATCTTTTCTGATCAGATGATGTGTCCAAAGTAGCTTATGGATTATTGTTTCAATGCTGGGTATGTATGTCTGTTTAACTTAACATGCAGGGGTGTGTCAAAGAGCTGCAGAAATCACTCAAGTCTTGCTTATCACATGAAAACTTACAAACAACCCAAACAGAATTTACAAAATAGGCCAGGCTTTATACAAAACAACTTAGTTTGCCATGTCTGCAATAAGCTTTGCAAATCACTTGCTGGCTTCATGAGCCATTGTTATCCTCACAAAAACTAAAACCATGAATCAAACTTGTGAGTAATAGTTATATTTATTTAACCAGTCAACAGTCATCATGTGTGTTTATAACATAAATACATATATACATAACGCCTGGCCACTCGTATCCAAGGAGGCCTGTCTACTGGGGCAGCTAGCTAACCCCTGTTGCAGATGCCTGCTCAGGCACATTTGTGTTTGTTCAACACCCACCCTGTGGTTTATACTGCAACTATGCTGAGTAGACCTCAGTTACAGTATCTGGGAGATAGCGTGTTATCTAGCATGATCAACACTCTGAACAAGGCTAGCACTCTCAAAACCTCAGTCATGATGACTTGTGACTTCATGCTAGCACAACTACTGACGGCTCTCCAAGGGTCCCGTCTATCCAATTTCACTTACAAGGCTTGAGTCAACTCATGGTATGGTTTTCGGGCACTTTCCAAAAGTGCTGCATGCTGGGATCACCTCCTCCAGAGTGATAACATCCTGAAGTTACCTAGTTACAAATTGACCCTGGTGAGATGTAAACCCAGGTCTCAAGGTCAGAAAGCAAACATTCTAATCATTCAGCCACATCATCCCATATTCATACATACATATATACATATATGCATACATACATACATGCCTAGAGCCTAGAAACAATCATGACTCTCCAACACCTTGTCTGAATGTAAGACATCTGCCTACCTAAACAAATCCTCTTCTCAGAGATCAAAGGATGTTTCTCTTTTTGTGAATTGATGGGCAAGAGACCACATGGAGCCCCATATTGTCGATTCAAGGATCAGCTCAAAAATACCTTGTGAGGATAGAAATCAATCCAGTCAATTGGGAGATGCAAGCTGCAGAAAGAACCAATTGGAGAAGAGCAGTCTACAAAAAAAAAAGAAACATCCTTTGAAAACACCAGAAGACAAATAGAAAAGATGAAGAGGACATAAATAAAAGCCAGAGCTCTCCATCCTCTGAACCATCCTATCCTACCATGTTGTGACTGCAGACATCTCTTCAGATTCATCATAGGGCTCATTTCACACAGAAGGAAATGTTGATATGCACACCAATACTCAGCAATGAATTCCACCAACAACGATAATATACATACATATGGATAACATTATTTACAAGAAATAAACAGCATAGAAATTTACATTTCTTTAATTCAATGTTTGTTAAATTCTTTGGTTAATGTTTTGATATAAAATTTTATTAATTTTAATATTAATCTTACATGCCAATTTATAACTGTCAAATATTTTAAAATATAAAAGTGAGTGCAACTTTTTACTCAATTTTTAAAAAATTATGCTGAAACTGAACTTGTATTAAGAACAAGTCTCTTTATTATATACAGACAGGGCTGAATTATGACCCTTTGTGGCCAGGAGGCTAATAAAATTGTATGTCTCCTTTCTGATGGAGTCATTCTTTAACTCGCCCACACCTATTTTGAACATTTTTATTTACTCATGATATATTTTAGTGCAAGTTATATAGCTTGAAGTAAACTTAATGCAAATTCTTTAAATAAGCTAGAATAGCTATCTTTTGTTTGTCAATAACAATATTCTTTAAGAAATACCTTCACTATTTATTGCAAACTAAATTAGCATATATTTCAACACAACCATAGTAAAAAATACAGATTTTTAAAAAAAACAGTTTTATAACAATAAAACAATCAAAATAAATGAGTTTGTGACTGTTTGTCATATTGATATCATTTCTGTTTATGACGTCTAGAAAATTAAAATCATAAAAACTTGAGGACCCTAGGCTGTAGCTTAAACTAGGCTAAAGGATAATCCAGCCCTATATACAGGTCCCTCTTTTGAGAAATGACAGATTCATAAGATTTTTATTTTGAATGTTACATTTCATGTGACATAAGGCCAAAAGGGATGGGGTCAGGAAAGATTGGTCATCACTGACTATCATACCCCTAGTTAAACTGGTTCACAAGCCATTCTTTTATTACAATACTCATACACCACAAGACACACACAATCTCCATTCACTCCAACACATATAATAATACTGCATATTCACAAGGATCCTACTAAAACACACATGACATGAAAATATATACAATTATTTTTTGTTTTTGTTGTTTTTTATAAAAATATATAAAATTATGACATAAAATGAGGGGGAGGGATGTACTCAAAAACGAAATTAAAATACAACAAAACACTCAAACTAAAATTAAAATATGTTAGTAGGACCCATCCACCCCACAGAAAAATAAAAGTGCCCACTATATTCTGCTGCTTAGCGGATACAGCAGTTCACTCACTAGGTGCAAAGAAGAGACAAAATAAATTATGGAGTAGGGAATTATCAAAGGGTGTTCCAATCAAGAGTAAAAAGTAGGGAAAACGAAAACCAAACTGGGGACATAAATCATAACAAAAGAGAATGCTAGGAGCAGGCCGTGAACAACAATTAATCACATTAACTAGGTAAACAAAAGCGTCTAGCTTAACCGGGGGGGGGGTAATCCAACAGGAAACTGCCCCGTTGTATCAAAAGGTGACTAAAAAAGAAAATCAAACTGGCCCTGTTCACACAAACTAAGCTCACCACTTTTACCCATCTTTTGTTGAAATCTATGCCAATAACAAACAGGTTCAGAAGATACTGATTTGCAAAATTTGCAGGTTGCAAAATTCTCATCACTTGAGAACTTTACAAGATTTTCTTTTTTTAAGTTATACAAATTATGGCAATCTTTAACTATCTGAAATTGATCTCATCACCCTAAATGTAGAAGAACTGGAAGACTTTGAGAGTTTTGTCTGTCTCGGTGCAGCAGTTTCAAAGCAAGATGGTGGTAGGAAAAACATTGAGGCTACAATGACAAAGGCCATAGCAAGTTTTGGTCATTTGAAGCAGGTGTGGAATGTGACTCCCTAGAACCCCTTAGTGTTGAGATATGGTAAAGAAGAGGTAGGTTTATCATCTACACTTTAAGGCAAAACTCAAACAATGACTGCAATGACCTGTGCCCCAGAAAGAAAAAGGATAAGGTAAGGACCAAGGACAACACAGTAAAGGTGTATGGAGAAAGAGAAGGAGGCAATGGTTTAGTGGTCCTGGTGTGAGGCATGTGCAACAAATGTGGACAGGGTATAGTGAAGCTATTCTGCTGAGGGCTTTATGTGCCATGAAGCACCAGGCAGATAGATAGATAGATAGATAGATAGATAGATAGATAGATAGATAGATAGATAGATAGATAGATCTGTAGTGAATCCTGATAAAAATAAAATAAGATATATAAATAAAAAGAATTTGAATTAAAAAAAAATCATTTACACTTTCCTTCAAAACCCTTTTGTTCTCTCTCTCTCTCTCTCTCAACTTCTTTTTTTTATACTTCTCTCAACTAATGAATAGCAACCCTCAAATAAAAAGAGGAAGTAGAAGAAAAGACTGAACTCAGGCAAAAAAAAACAAAAAACGCTAGAAGTTTATTGGGACTTATTATAAATCATTATTAAGATTGATAAATAGAGATAGATACTAAAATATATTTTTATTTACAATATGAGAAGAATAACTCCCAAGTTGCATAAAATCTCACATTATTAATTAAATTATTATGATTACCTCTAATAAAAACAATTGTAAGCTAAATTTCATATGATATATTTATGAATATCAGTATATCTGGAAAACATTTGCTGGTGTATACAAATTTTATTGTGAAAACCTTAACTTGAATTATAAATCCTGTATACACATATAAGTAATACTAACAAAATACACTTAAAAATATATACTTTTAATAAATGTTGCATGTAGTGATTTTTATTAGCTAAACCATTTGTGGAGATATTTTTAAATAACAAGTTATCTCAACATCAGAATTTGATTTCATAATTCTAAACATCATGGCTGTTTTCTGGTATTTGTTAAGTAAGTCAGTTACCATATGATAATCACCAGCCAATGAAATTGCTGATCTGTCACAAACCTGTAAAACATTAAGAAGACTTATCATCAAAGGTGAACATTCAACTGAGTAATGTTACTATATTTTATGATTTTCTTTTTTGAGTTAGTGATATACTTTGTTGCTAAGAATAAAATATGCTGGAATCATTTTCAATGACTGTACTAAAATTTACAATGTCAAATCATCTTTAGGATTTTTTAAATTCAAAAATATCACTATTTGCTAAAAAAAATGATCCTAAAAAAATGTATCTTTTATATTTTCAAAACAGTTCCCTGTATTCAGAAATAATTTACCAACCTGGTAATTGTTCACTATGGTCCTTAGACTTTATAAATTTAAGCACAGTACTAAATTGGCAGCAAGGTTATCATCAATTTACAGTTGAATTGGCCGCTAGATGTAACCGTAAGTTCTATGCTAACAGTTTCTCTTCTCACACTTCTTGCTCATAGGAACTCTCTTCTGGTTCCATGCTTTCTGGCCACCTTTGATCTTCAATATTTAAATGCAATATCAATTGCTATCTCGTGTCTTTTATTGTTCTCGCTCCTTCATAATGTTTTTATTTTTTAATTCTTTCACACCCAGTAACCCCTTTGTGTCTTAGTGGCTTTACTGCCTTGATTGGGGTAAACCTTTAGGATACTATAAAAAGGAAGATGACTTATATCTTTGAAATGAGAGATTTGTACTATCTTTTAATAAATAGATGATATTTATTGCAATAATAATAATAATGATAACCATCAATAAAAACTAATTTGTATATGTTATTTTTAATATAATCAGTAATTTAAATAATAAAAAATCTTCATACCCACAAAAAACAGTGTGCCAAAATAAAGTTATTACTTTATGCACTTTTGTCTCCCTTAAAAATGTTTATTTACAAGACTGTGTACTACCCCACTTGACTGTGCCAAAAGCACTCACTAGGGAGTGCTGCTTAGGCCTTTAAATAGGTATTGATATTTTCATTCATCCTCTCTTTTTGATCTTTTTAGCACTGGCTTTCAGATGTAGCTGCACGTTGATAGGAACACAGCTAACAAGGCACAATTGCTTCTTTGTTCCTCTTTTGACTTTTGTGCTCTCTCACACATGCATATACACACACACATCTATTACACATGCTTGTGTCGTATGTCCAGAAGTCGCTTTCTGTTTGCAATCCGTCTAGTCTCGCCGAAGCCTAGAAAAGCAGTGGCCTCCCACGTCCACTTGCCGGGTTTTTAATCGGTAGCGTGGTTCTCTTATGCAAATAACTCTGCTGCAGAAAAATGGCAGTAGGCGCACGTGCGACCGACTCTCAGAGAATGGTTCGACACGCGAGGCAACGAATTCGCTTTGCTCCTGGTAAGTCACTGTCACTCCTATTACAGCTTGGTATACACACACATACATAGACAAACAAGCACATTCTTCTTATAACTTGTTTTAAATTTTTTTTCTTTTGTTACAATTATCTACACCTGAAATTCCTTCTGTTAATACATGCATTGTTGTTTGTTTTATATTTATTGTTTTGGTATTACACATTTTTACCTGGACTCACATTGTTTGTGTAATAAATGTTCCAGGAGCTTGTAAATATTTACTATCTAAAGTGTTGATTCCCGCAATATAATGGTGATTAATATTTACCAAAATATACTAGTATCCCACAAGACGATAAAAATAGGTGAACCAAGTACAATGCGATATTTATTATTTATGTTTTATGAAGATTTATTATTTAATATTTTATAAAGAGATATATTTGAAAAGAAATATTTTTATTCAAAAATTTATAAAAAATTATCAAAATATACAAATCAAGAATGCTTGGTCCAGAGGAAGATATACTTTATTTTATTTTAGTGAATTTATGTTGTGAGGAACTAATTTTCTAACTCAGAATTTCACAGATAGTGTACATAATTTCTCATCAGAGGTACAATAAATCTATTGAATATTATACTTATTTTAAATACATTACATAAAAAATTAATTATTGCTGTCAACTAAATTTTAAATTTGTTCCATCTTACAAGTGTTATATGACAATCTAATCTAAAATTCTTTGATTAAGTGTATTGAAGAATTTTACCATTATAGATATTTGTATAAAAATCTTAAGTAAATAGTGTAAATATTTCTGATTTTATACTTTATATTAAATATTAGACACATTTGTATTATCATAATATTCAAAATTACTGATCGTATTATTGGGCAAGTATATTTATTTATTTACTTATTGATTTTTGTCTTTTAATTTTCTATTTTTTATTCTATTATTTTTATATTAATTTTTTTTTTAATTTTTGAATGTTATATTTAATGTAAAAAAATCAAAATGAAAGAAAAGTGGGGAAATTAACTCCCTTCAGTTTTAGTCAGTGATTTTTTAAAAATAGATTCTTATTAAATTTCCACTTCCCACGCACTAAGATGGTTATGATGAGACTTTCCCATATAACTTCTGCAATAAATTAAGTATTGTTCTGGAAATAACTGATGGGCAAAATAGAATTTAACATTAGATTAAAAGAAAATATAAATAGAACTAATAATTTTATTTATCTAAATTACCAAATATATTTCTTACTATTGTACTAAAAGAAATTAGGAATAACTACTTTGATGAATTACTATAAACAGGTATCATAAATTATTTGGAATATCAACTTTATGGGAAGGACATTGGCTTCAGTAAAACAAGTGGTTATAATGGAAAAATGTTATTTAAATGAAGTCATTCTAACAAGATACACCTGAAAAAGAATTAAAAATATTATGGTGAAAACTTTCTTCGGAGTTAACAAGTGTGACATTTGTCTAATGAAGCTTTGAGAGTTGACCAAGGTAAACGTTCAATTAAAAGTACAAAAGAAAAAATATTAGTCTAAGAAAATGAAGTTCTTGAATTTTGGGAAATCTGTCTCTTATAATGCACTTCAATATATTATTACGTCCTGGGTAAGACGATAAACTACGTCCAACAGCAGGAGGTTTTGAAGAGCGTAGAACCACCTCTTAATTGCTGGTGTTCTCAGGTCCACCCTGGCCAGGGGTGGTAGCACTTGTTAGGGTCCCAACTATGGGTAAATAGTTAACCCCCAAACAGGGGTCAAAACACTATGAATATGTACAAATAGGTTTTAATACCAGAAATACATTGTAAAATAAAAAATCATTACCAGCAATACATTTATGAAAAAAAAAAAGATATTACCAGCAATACATTTTTCGAAGAAAAACAGACATTCTTTGAAAAAATTATTACCAGCAATAAATTTTTAAGAAAAATTATTACCAGCAATAAATCTTTGAAGAAAAATTATTGCCAGCAGTAAATTTTTGAAGAAAAATTATTGCCAGCAATAAATTTTTGAAGAAAAATTATTGCCAGCAATAAATTTTTGAAGAAAAATTATTGCCAGCAATAAATTTTTGAAGAAAAATTATTGCCAGCAATACAGTTTTGAAAAAGAAATATTACCAGCTATACATTTTTGAAAAAAATATTACCAGAAATAGATTTTTTGTGAAAAAATTTTGCCAGAAATAGATTTTTTTGTAAAGAAAAAATATTACCAGAAATAGATTTTTGAAAAAAAAATAATAGCAACAATAAAAATTTTGTCGGCATTAAATAACCCATTGAGGTTGATTTACTGTAAAACAATCTAAACCAAACCAAACCAATATATTATTATTATTATTATTATTATTATTATTATTATTATTATTATTTCTGCTGTATACATATTTCTTTCTGGGTCCCAACCAGAGACCTAAGGTCAGAAATGGCTCCATGACATTTTTCATTGAGCATTTTTGTAAAAAAAAACAACAAAAGAAACCTAAGATCACACATATGGGCTGTACTTGTGAGTAAAACTTTTTGTATTTCTTTAAGGAATCAAATACTAAGAATCCCTTCAATGAGTCTATCAGAATGTTTTCCAATTAATCCAAGGGCTCCAACTATAATTGGATTTGTTGATGTCCTCATGTGCCACTCTTTTGAGATTTCAATTTCAAGGTCCTTTTACTTTGATAGATTTCTGAAGATCTTCAAAGTTACATTACAGTCTGCAGTGACTGCCATGTCAATAAGCAGGTACCATGATGTCTGGAAAATTACTTTTGATTGTTCCATCTGTGTGTATTGCAAAGTGCCATAAAATTGTTACAGCTCTGTAACTGGGTCTGGGTGGTGTTCATACCAATTTCTTGCAGTTTCCTTTCTATAAAAGTTGTATATTTTCCGATGAAGATATTGGCCACTCTGTCATGCCAGTTTTTATATTCAGTGTGTGCTACTACTGTGTAACCTGATAAAAGATGTCAATTGTTTCTGGATATTTGTCACAGAATATGAAGTTCGACTTAGCACAATTTTTAGTGTGTGTATGTGGTAACTTCTAGTTAGCAAGCATTGGTCCTGTGCAGCAAGAATAAAACCTTTGGTTTCAGCTTTTAACCCAGCACCATGTAACCACAGATGGATAAGGGGTTTGTCTACATCAGCTTGTTTGGTATGGACAGAGTATTGATTATGAAGATGCTTATCTTGCCATCATTTCTACATTTTATTATTATTATTATTCATCTTACACACACACACACACACACACACACACACACACATGTATATGTAGCCATATCATGTTGAAATATCAGTTCTCATATGACCACCAATGTTAAGCAATGCTGAGTCAGTACCAAGATACGTGATTGCTTGGGAATACCAGATTTATTGGTTTTTTAAAATTTTTTCAATCATTTCACCCCAAGCAAAGCAATAAAGCATCGATGATGCAAGGGGTTACTGAGTGTGAGAGAATATGAGAAAAAAACATTATGGAGAAAGAACAATAAAAGTAGAGGAATTAAGAAGACAGAAGATAATGATTGACATTGCATTTAAATTTTTGAAGATTAAAGTTGATTGGAAAGTAAGAAGGCAGAAGAAAGTTCCACAAGTGAGAAGTGTGAGAAAAGAAACTATTATAATAGGACTTACAGTTACAGTTAGCCATTTCAACTGTAAAATGATGAAACCTA